CCCCCACCACCCAGTGGCTGGCTTGGTCTCCTCCCACCCAGCCCCGATGGCCACCGTCAATGGGGCTCTGTTCTATGGGATTTGGCCCAGGCCCCTGTCGCAAGCCAAGGCCCCAGGGCCCAGGGCTGTACAGGTGGTAAGGGAAGGGAGGGTTGGGCAACGGGATGTGGAGAGGGTGCCCAGGCCTGCTCCAGTCCCACCCTCCCAGCCCACGGCCTCATCGCCGCCCGGCAGATCCAGGGTGGGGGACACAGGTGACAGAGTGGGGTGGGGGCAATCTGTTCTTCCGTCATCCACTGCCAGATTGTCTGCGGGGCAGAGACCCCATGCCAAGCAAAGTGGGTATAAGGACAGAAAGAGGGTTTCGGCCCAACCATGGGGCTGGACCACTAGAGGAGGAAGTGGAAAGGCCTGGGCACCTCAGGCTTTGCCCCGAGGCCAGGGAGATGCATGGGGCGAAGCACATTTTGCTGGGGGACTGAAGAGAAACAGGGCACTTTGACCGTCACCTGAGCCGCGCCCCCCAGCCCTCTGTCCCACAGCAGACAACCCTAGAAGGGCCCAGCCACTCTGGAGGAGGTGGGGGGAGGACACATCCCATTCTGATTAAACATAAGTACAGGTCTAAGAAGAATGTGTTCACCAAAGACCCCAAGAGCCCCAGGGAGCACCCCAACATTCCCATCTTCCCAGCCCCCAAGGAGCCTGGTGCTTGGTTCAGAAGGGCCAGGAGCTCCTCAATCACTTCACATAGTCCCCTCTGTGCCCCCACCTGACCTCAGGCTCCTGGGACTCACACAGCCCCAAAGGAAGACGTGGAGATATCAGATGTTAGTCAGATGTTAGGACGGAGGGAGATTTGCGGTCATGACTTTGGAAATTGGCCCTCCTAGCTCACTTGAGCTTTCAGCTGGAAAACTGGAAAATGGGCCCAGAGAGGTGAGAGACTCACACATGGGAAGGAGCAGCAACAGCACTTGTCACACTCCTTCCACATCGGCCAGAGCCCGAGCGGGAACTCTGGCCACTTGTGGCCCCAGGGTCCTGAAGGAGAGGACAGTGGCCCACTCCCAAGGCCTGAGGAAGGCAGGTGGAGAGCAAGCCCCCTCCGGGCATAAAAGAGGCTGCAGGACTCTTTTCCAGGGCCACTATGAGAGGGTGTAAGTGGTTCCCAATTGCTACAGAAGTCGAACCTAACGCCCATGAGGAATGGGGTGAGGGGCACTCACAGAATTAGTCCCTTAAAGCCCAAGAACAGATCCTCCCTTCTGCTGGGAGCTGGGATACAAGGCATTTGGGCAAGCCAGGCTGGGAGGTGTATCCCCACCGAACCGTGTGTCCTTGGGCTGTTCGCAACCTCTCTGGGCCCCCTCTGCCGTTATGAAAGGGGAAGTCCTTTCAAAAAACATTGGCCTGCAATCCCAGGACAGAGCTGGGAGTAAGCGTCACTTCCCACTGATCTTTGTCTCCTGTCCCTGAGGCTGTGATCGCTTTCTCAGCCTCCCTTATCACTCCCTGCTGGTGTGTGGGAAGGGGAGACAGTCGGGAGTGGGACTTCTGGGGAAGGGAGTGATGTCAGCCCTCTGAGTCAGGGCAGCCGGGGAGGTGGGAATAGAGTCGGCTCCACACATTCCACAGCCCCACAGGTTGACCTGGTACTCTCTGCCAGGTTTTGTGGGCAAGATGGTGACAGATAGTGGCACAGGCTGCCAGGGCTCGCTCTGGGAGTTCCTGCTTGGAGACAGGCTCCCTCCCAGCCAGGCAGGGGCTCCGGGGTCCCAGCCCAGACAAAGCAGGGGCGGGGGAGACACAGTGCCTCCTAAGGCCCTCTCTGCTTTCAAGCAGGACACCCAAGTTCAGACCTTCTCTCTGTGGCTAAAGAGGAGCAGTTTCCTCCCCTCCGCTGCTGCTTCAACCAAGGGCTTCTGTGCCTGGAGACTTTCACCTGCCTAGCCCCCCACCCCCAGGTCCCCCGCGGTAGGACACAAGCGCCGAGGGGATATCAGGCTGCTGTGGGAGGAACAAGGCAAGACGGCTAATGGTGCCTGTGGAGCCCCCAACAGCACCCACGGGAGGCCAGGCTGGATACGGGGTCATAGCAAAGATAAGGGGTGAAGACAAGAGTTGCTGCCCTTGGGCACCCTCCTATAGGGGTCGGACTTCCTAAGCCAACTGCGATGACTATTACAGTCAGCCTTTACTCAGCACTCATGACAGAGCCGGCACGTTCGGTGCGGGAATGCATCTCATGTCCACGCTGGGTGAGCTCCGTCTGCCTCCTTCTGACTCCAGATCAGTCACCCTCCTCCTAGACCCCTGTAGGCTGCTCCCTTGCTTTCTGGCTTCACTAGTTTGCCAAGGCTGGGGGGCAGTGACAGGAGATCTGGGAGGGTGGAAGGAAGGGCAGGCATTTCTCCCTGGCTTCCTCTCTACTGTCCTCCATGATTATATCTTCTTCCATCTGTCACTCACTTCTTCCTCTTGTCTTTCAGCTCTACACAGGTGACCTCCTCATCCTGGTTCTCCGTTTCCAAGGGAAGGCCCACGTCCTGGGAAACAGCTCAGCCCTGGACAAACCGAGGTTGGCCCCTCCAGCTCTGCCGACCTCAGGGCCCCTCCATCCTTTCTGCATTCCCTCAGCCACACCCACACCTCCTTAGGAGCTCCTGCATGAAAGCCCATCTAAGTGAACTTTCTTGGGTGAATTTTGTCTACTGCTGGGATCCTGAATGGCACCATGCCCACACAGCCCTGTGAGGTCAGCATTATTAATCTATCCTCACAGATGAGAACACTGGAGGGGTTACATAGCTTGGTCAAAATCACACTATTGGTAAGTGGCAGAGCTGGGATACAAGCCCAGGAATCCTGGTTCCTGGGCCATGGGCTTTCCAGCTCATGTCTCCCTTACAGAAGGCTAAAAAGCCTCCTTCTCAGATACTTTTGATGGAGAGATCCTTGAGTCTGAGAAAAAGGCTAACCTCCCCTTAAAGCTGGTTGCAGGGTGGACATGGGGGAGGGATGACATGACCTCCTGTGGCCTAGGCCATGGAGTTTGGAGTGGAGCCACAAGGGAGGGAGAAGACGGGAAGAGCAAGTGCAGGAGCTGATGACTAGCTGGGGTAGGGGCTGGGGTGGAGAAAGTGACCCTCTTCACCCATCTAGCAACTGGCCCTGATGCCCATGCTCCTGGCTTCCTATAGAGCTTCCTGCAGAAGAGGGAAGAAGTTTCCAGCCTCATGTTCAGACAGGCCCAGTGATGGGGTGAGAGCCAAGAGGTAAGGGGATGGGCAGAATTCCAGTCCCAAGAGCTCATCAAACTCTCCCCCCCCCCACCGCATCAGCTGAGCCACTGATCCCCATCCTGGGTGCAGGAGACCAACCTGCCCACTGGTCCCAGACTAATAGGAAAGCTGGATCCCAGACCAGAACCAGACAGAGACAGAGCCAAGGACAACAACAGGTGTAGCCAGGCTTGGGGAATTAGGGAAGGTTTCCAGGAGGAGAAAAATCTGGTGCACACGTGAGAAGAAGGAGGAACAGGAATGAGCGGCTGTCTTCAGCCTGGAGTACAGTTATTTTACCAGGGAACAAGCTGGAAGGGCTACTGAAACATCAGTGGAGATGGAGGAAATGGAGGGCATCCAGGGAGCAGAGTGGAGGCCTGGAAGAAGCCCTCTGATGAACTGTCCTAAACAGTAATAGACATTCCACAAATTGCCTTCTGGGAGGAGTGGGCTGGGCAGCAACACTGCTTCTGTTTTGCTGGGTGAGATGCAAGCCTGAGGCAGAGCTGAACTGCCAGAAGGAGGGGCAGAGAAGCTGCACAGTGCCACAAGGAACCTTCATCTCTGCCCTCCAGCCTCCCCTCTAAATGCCCTCGGAACCTGCATTTAAAACTATTGCTTAGCATCAGTGCTGACTTATTAACCTGCTTGGGGGCACCCCTGTCCAGGAGAGGGGCCAGGTTAAAGCTCAGAGAGGAGGTGAGGCTGACATGACAAGACCCAGCTTGCTACCCTGGATGAACGTGGAGCCAGCACACCACTGGGAAAGGACCGGAAGAAGGGACAGAACACAAAGAAACAACCCCCGAGAAACCCCCATCCCCCAACACAGGCTGTCTGAATGAGCCACAGGAGGCTGGCCTCTGGCACTGGTAACCACGGACTCCAGAAGGAAGATCTGGCTCTCATGGGTGGGAGGCATTATGCTAGAGAACCCACAGACTGAAGGGATGGGAGAGACTGAACCCAGGGGCACCTTTCCTACCTCCGAGTCCACCAGAGCTCAGGGTTGTAAGTTTGAGCCCCATACTGGGCGTAGAGCTTACTCTTTTAAAAAGAGAGACACTGACTCCATTGTGAGGGCAGGATGGGGTTGATCTTGCTTGCCAGCGTAACCCAGCCCTGGCACCATGCCCCAAGAATGCTTTGCACTCAATCAAATTTGTGGGAGGAAAACAATGGGAGAGGGGAGAGAGAAAGGAAGACACCCCCACTCAGGGAGAAATGGGTGCTGCTTCATTTCACAGAAGAGCTAGAAAGATGGAGGTCCAGGGGCAGGTGAGGAGGATGAAGGTGGTGACCCTTGGTTCTGGCCCCCAGGCTCTGATCACTGGGTCTCTGGCCTCTCCCCTCCCCCACAAAGGAAAATACTTGGCTGGCCAAGCCCACCAGAGGTTTCCCAGCTCCACCTGAGAACTGTGGAGAGGAGAGGATGAGGCTGGTTGGCTGGAGGACAGGGCGTTGTGGATCTGGGTCTGGGGCAGACAGCAGGCAAATGAAACGCAAACCCCTATGCGGAGCATACCAGACCGGGCACACACTCAGAACAGCAGGCAAACATGGTTTTATTGACTTTCACAGAGTCCTCTGTGGGCTGACTCAGGCTGTGGGCAGTGGACACGGAGCTGGCCGTGCAGGGAGGTGGGTGGTGGAGGTAGGAGCAGTGCTGAGAGGGCTCGGGAAGGCACAAGGAACAAGTGGCTGCAAGGTCCCTCAGTAAGTGACAGACATCTTCAGACTTGACTCCACTGTCTTCTTCAGGATGGTGTGGCCGCCGGAGCTAGAGCCAGAGCTAGAGCCCGATACAGAGCAGGAGCCCCAAATAGGACCCTGCCCAGAGCCCAGGATGACATTGGAGCCTCCGGTCACAATGCTGGAGCAGCTGGACCCAAAGCTGCCTTTCTCGTCTGCAAGTCCACAAGTGGCCCCCAGGCCACTGCCCGCTCCTCCAGACACAACAACGCTGCCTCCGCCCACAGCTGCCAAGAAATGTACCATGTTCTCAGCATGGTCCTTGGTTCCCCATGGGGACCACTCTCCCCAAGCACCCTGATACTCACAGATAGTGGCCTGGCTGGTGCACCTCCCAGACATCCTGGCAGAGAAAGAAGAGGAAATGCTCAGAAAGGCTGCAAAGAGTATGCCCCCAGGTATTTGAGCCTTTCAGCAGATCAAATCCACAGTTCTGAGTTTAAAACCCTTCCAGCAGGATAGGTTGCCCTCGGTGTCTCAGAGTGCTAGGAAATCTCAGAATCCCCTTCAGCAAGGAGAGCACTTCGGTGGTGGTCCATCTTCTGCTCCCATTTCTCCCATGTTCCCAGGTCCCCACCTGCTCTCCTCAACCTCCAGCAGCCTGCGGTAGGTGGCGATCTCCACGTCCAGAGCCAGCTTCGTGCTCATGAGCTCCTGGTACTCGCGCAGCACCCGGGCTAGGTCCTGCTTGGCTGCTCTCAGGGCGGCCTCCAGCTCGTCCAGTTTGGTCTGAGCATCCTTGAGGGCCAGCTCCCCACGCTGCTCGGCATTGGCAATGGTGGCCTGCAGGTCGGCATTCTGGAAGGGGAGTAGAGATGAGACAGAAGGTGGCTGCAAGTCCAGCACAGCCTCCCAAGGAACCTACTGTGGCTAAAGCTTAAAGCCCGAGGTAGACCACAATCTTATGAGCTCAAAATTCTCCACGGCCATCCCCCTTCCCCCAGTTCCTCTCATTCTAAGGGAAAGCATTGCCTCTTGGTTTCCTTAACTCCTGGAGTGTGTTGAATAGTGTCCCCAAAAATGTCACGTCCACCTAGAACTTCAGACTGTGATCTTATTTGGAAATAGGGTCTTCGCAGATGTAAGTCGTCAAAGATCTCAAGATGACTATCATACGTATGTATATAGAATGAGCCTTAAATTCCATGAGTAGTGTCCCTAGAAAAAGATGACAGAACACAGAGACAGATACAGAGTGATGATGCCGTGTGACCATGGAGGCAGGGATGGAGTGATGCAGCCGAAAGACAAGGAATGTCAAGGATTCTCAGGCTACCAGAGGCTAGGGTAAGGCAAGGAAGGATTTCCCTGCCCTCCCTGCCCCGCCCCCACTCCTTCAGAGGGAGTGCACCTGCCAACACCTGATTCCATAGGTCTGGCCTCCAGAACTGAGAGAACACGTGGTCTGGTGTGTCAAGCCTCCAAGTCTGTGGTGCTTTGTCGCAGCAGCCCCAGAAACCCATCCCTTAGCCCATTCCTTGAGGCACTTTCTCTCTCCCTGGACCCTTAATGTTCTTCCAGCCCCGCTGCATGGAGCATTATCGACAAGCATCATCTTGAGGGTTGCCAAGGTCCTTGATCATTTTAGAACAACCTCACTTCAAAAACTTTGTCCTACTATCAAAGCATATGGAACCATATGCCTCAGTTTGGGGTTTGAGAAACACTCTCTCTGCACTTACCTCTCTGATCTGATAGAAAACTCGCAGAAGGAGAGCAAGAAAAACATCCCCATCTACCTGGCCATCCAGCCGACTGATCCTCAGGATCAGGAAGGAAGGCATTCCCTAAAGGATCTCATTATTCTATTCCCATTCTAGCCTCATTATTCTGTTCTGTTCTATACACAAACGCCCTGTGGATGTGGAACATTGGCTCTCTTCTCCAGATGAAGAAACGGAGATTCAGAAAGGTAGCGAGGGGCAGAGCTGCGTCCCTAACCCAACAGCTGGTCCACCGCTCCCAGCCTGCAGGGCTCTGCCAGGACCTGGCACAAAGGAGTCTGGTCCATCATGTTTGTGCAGGAAAAGGAAGAGTAAGGGGGGTACTGCATTCCCAAGAGGGATTCTCACAAGAAAGGTACCTTGTGGCAGCTCCCAGCTTCGGGGACGTGGTAGCCCTCCTAAGTACAGGCAGCTGGGCTGAGACTGCATGCTCCCAACTGGGTGAACTGAGCTCAGAAAGTAGGTTTCTGGGCTACCCTTAGAGGTTGAGTCCCTGACAAAGGCCCAGGAATCTGCATTTTAACAGACACCCAGGGGAATTCCGAAGTAAGGAATGCAAATTTATGGGCAAAAACACTGTGGCAGCCAACTGAATAATGGGACCGGGTCACCTTCATCTCAGTCCTACCTCACATTCCAAAGGAAAACAGGTGGGGATGGGTGGAGACTGAGTCTGGTCTTTGAATGACCTGAGCTTCGAAAGCTTTCCTGGGAGGATCCTGCCTGGCAGAGGACGGGCCATGTGTGTGCGCCCTGGGAGTCAACCTGAAATGCTTGAAGAAACGCCCGATCCAAAAACCGATTTTTTGGGTTTGGGGGAAGTGAGTGCAAAGAGACTGGAAAGCTAAAGAGTCTACAGTCCTTCACATCTAGACATGAGGGCTCCAGGATGAACAAGGAAGCACGTCCCTGCCCTTGCCATCCTCTCCTTCCTCCTCTCCCCACCCCAGCCCACACCAGGCCCTAACAACATCACCTCCAACCTGTGCAAAGATCTGCCTAAGGAGCGCTCACTCCCCCCACCAGTCTTGCCTGCACCCTGTCCTGGCTCTCACCCTCCCCAACACGGGACCCAGAAAGTCAGCCCCTGACCCTAGAGTGTCTGAGGAGCTGGAGGAGTAAGAGTAAGGAAAGACAAGAAAATAAGACAAAAATATGGATCGACCCTCTCCCCAAGGAGCCAGAAGCAAGATGTATGTCTGCCTATGGAGACAGGTGAGCAGTGCCCCCTGGAGTTGTTCAACGCAGAATGTACACGGGCTTGAAGTCGTAGGATGGAGGCCAAATTTCTCCAAAATGGGCTTGAGCCTCTCTCCACCCGAGGTATCCAAAGCTCCAGATAGATATCAAACCCGCACACCAAACCAGCAGTGACCCTGGCACAAAAGTAGTCCAAAGCGGGGGGGGGTCCTGGGGAGCTCCAGGAGTCTTACCTGCTTCTTGAGGTTCTCGATCTGACTTTGCAGACTCTTACTCGCCTGCTGCAGCTGAGAGATCTGGACTTTGGTTTCCTTCATGCTGTCACCATGAAGTCGGGCAGACGCCTGAAGCTCCTGGTACTGATGGGGATGGAGATGACACCATTGGTTGAAAGGACCCTCACCTCTGACCCCAGGACCATGAGAAACACCATGTCCCCAGTTCTGTGCCTCCTCAAGCCCTCACTTGGAATGCAGGTTAAATGCTGAAGCAGGGGTATGGTGGGATGAGCTTGGAACAGTCCAGGCTGGTCTCGCACGGTTTCCCTGCACTGCCCCCCTCCTAGAGACGGGAAGTGGGCCATGCCACCCAGCCCCGGAGCTCTGGTCCCCCAAGGGGACCGAGTTGGACAACCACTGGGATGGTTGTGGGACCGAGTTGGACAACCACATCTGGGATATGGGCAGGGAGACCCAGCCTTTTCCTGCCCAGTGCTGCCCCCCACCATCCTTCCCACCCAGCTCTGGCACCTTGGTCTGGTACAGCATCTCCACCTCAGCTTTGCTGCTCTGGGCAATCTCCTCATACCGGGCGCGGACCTCCGCAATGATGTCACTGAAGTCCAAGACTCGGTTGTTGTCCATGGACAGCACCACAGACATGTCGCTGGCCTGGGTCTGGAGCTGGCCCAGTTCCTGCAAGGAAGACTGACTCAGTGTCCACCTGCCTCCACTCCCTTTCCCCCAAAGCCCCAGGCAGCAGGGCAGGGTGCCTGACTTCCTGCCCATGAACTCCATCAGGGGGCAGCCCTCAATCCACTGGGTATTTGTCCTGTCCTGTCCCCTACTGTCTCCTCATATGAAAACCAGGGTTATAGGAGGTGGTGTCTAATGCCATTGCAGTTTGGACATTAAAAGTAAATGCCCTGCAAGCTTGAAATCACCCGGTCCCCATCATTCCTCTGACTGCTTGTCATAGCCCCTCCTCTCCTCCTTCTACTCCAACCCCCATGGCCTCCTTGCTTCCACAAGGATACCAACTCACCACTGGAGGCCCTTCCCTCTGCCCGGAATCTCTGGTTCCACCTGCCTGATTAACTCCCTCACTTCCTTCCAATTTTTACTCAAGCTTTATCTTCTAAATAAAGGCCACTCTGACCACCCTATTTGAAATTACCACCTGCCCTACCTCCCCCTACATTCCTAAGCCTCCTGTCCCTGTTTGCCATAGCATTGATCACCTTCTGACATATTATAAAATTTACTCATTTACTAGGTCTATAATTGACCGTCCATCTCTCAACAGAAAGCAAGCATCGTGATTTTTGTCTGGTTATTCACTACTGTATCTCCAACACCTACCAATCCACACGGTACATTCTCAGTATTTGTTTGTCAAATGACTGAACGACTGGAATTAACTCACCCTAACCAGGTGTAGCCTCCTGGCCACTCCCACTGTAGCCAGGAAGCCTGCTTGCCCTGCCCCCTCCGCCACTCCCGCTGACCCTTGGTAGATCCTCACTTCTTCATTGAGTTGCCTCAAGAAGCAGAGGTACTCTCGGAGAGACGCCAGCTTGCCTTCCAGCTCCATCTTGTTCAGGAAAACCCCATCCACATCCTGGGGACAGGAAGACAAAAACCGTGTCCTCCCACCTCCTGTTGGTGGCTCCCACTCTGGCTCAGGAGTTCTGTTCACACACTGCCCAACGCTCACCCACGGCTGTCCCCAGAGACCCATTCATTCCTCCTCCAGCCCCCCTTGCCTTGCTCTCCCTTTTGCCTGACACTGACACACACCGCCTTCAGGAAGCCTTCCCTGATTACTCTCAACCAGTTCTGCATCTTCCACTCCCTCCCCAGCCTCTCCCACAGTGACTCCCGGAGCTCATCCTGTGGTCCTTCCATCAGATCTTGTTCTGGGGCCCCTGTGTCTACATAGGTGTCCCATTTCCCTGGGGGCCCTCTGCAGGCGGTGTGAGATCGTGTCTTGCATTAGAATCATGTCCTGCATTAGGATCTCCGGTCCCAGCCCAGGACTGGGCTTTGTGCATGGTGGGGGCTCAGGATCCCAGTGAAGTAGCTGACTCCCACCCTCACCTTTTTTAGGACCACAAAGTCATTCTCAGCCGTGGCATGCTTGCGGGACTCTTCCTCATACCTGTCAAATAAGTACAGAAGGATGCTGCCTGAGGCGGCGAGATCAGAGCCCCTACCCCTCCTCCGAGCACAACCTCCCTGAAAAGGAACCCCTTGCCCTTAGACGCTCCCAAGCAGGACACATAACCAGCCCGACCCTCTGCCGTTCCCATCAGGAAGTCATTGCCACGTCCTGGCTACATCCATCTCCACTCCTTCAGCTCATGTCCACTTAGCCACATGAGGCCACTTTCCATCACGTCTATCAGGCACATTCCAACACATTTTCACACTCGCTGCTCACAATCATCATGTGAAGCAGGCATTTTGGATTTTGTCAGAGAGGTTCATGGTTTGCCCAAGTCATCAATAATTAGGTCGCCCAAGCAGATCTAAAACCAGGTCTCCTGGCCTCTTTCCAGGACCCGCTCCACCTCCCATGCCATCTTACAGATGGGGAACTGAGGCTGGCAAAGACAAAAGGCTGCCCAGCTACCCCTGGCTCGCAGTCACCAAACCCAAGCCTCCTGTTCGTCCAGGGCTCCCTCCACACCAGGTGACCTAGGTGGGGAACCCGGAAACACAGCCCAGCTGTGAATCATGCCACACGCCAGGGGATGGTCCCACTAAATGGATTCCCTTCCACCACCAGGACCAGAGAACATCTGAGTCACCTCAGCCCACAGCCTGCTCAACAGGAATTTATCGAGGAAAAACCCGGGGAGGCATTGTTTAAAGAAGCCCCTCCCAGCCCTGACCCAAATCATGGCCCTCAGAGCTGGGTCTGTTGGCACTAAGGCTCTCCAGACCCGGGCATCAGGGACTGGGGGGCCTCCTTACCTACCACGGTGAGGGGTGGGGGGAGCCCTGAGAATCAGAGGGAATGGGATGCAGAAGGGAGGACCGTCCTGTGTCTCTGGGAGCTCAGCATGGGGAAGCCCTCCAACTGCGGATCCAAGCCCTCCCAGACCCCATGGGACCCCAGGGCTTGCCTACTTGGCCTTATACTCCTCCTCCTGGTCCTGGCAAGACTTCAGCTCGGCGTCCACAGCCCTTCGCTCCCTCTGGAGCTGTTCCAGTTGCCACCGGAGCCGGGCCAGGTAGCCCTCAAAGAAAGACTCCAGGTCCGGCGGGCTGTCACTCACGCCCAGCCGCTGCAGCAGCTCCCACTTGGTCTCCAGGACCTTGTTCTGCTGCTCCAGAAAGCGCACCTGGGATCCAAGCAGAGGCTCCCTGAGGCTCCTGGGGGACTCCCTGGCCACAGGATCTGGCAAGGAAAACCTCACGGACCCTCAGTCCACCTTTCCTCTACCTCCCAATCCATCCTGGGCAGGGGCAGCCTTGTGCCCTCCCAGGAGACTCTGAACACATCAAAATGATGGGGATGGGCTAACGGGGGAGGGTCCACTGCTGAATGACTGTTCTCTGTTCCTGAGCCCCAACCATAGAACAGCGGGGGCTCCGCATAATCAGAGAGCCTGCAGTTAGACCACAGGAAGGACTTCTTTGCTGCAGAAGCACTAAAAACGTGGTGGCAGAGCAGACCTCCCCATTCCCAAATCCCTGGAGAATGGTTCTTCTGAGGGAGGCAAAGAGAGAGGCTTACCTGAGTGGACCCTCACCTTGTCAATGAAGGAAGCAAACTGGTTGTTGAGGGTTCTGATCTCTTGGGTCTCTTGAGTCCTCACCACCTGGAACTGGGGGTCAATCTCCATTTTCAATGGGGTCAGCAGACTACTGTTGATGGTCACTTCCTGGATGTCCCCCGGAGGGCACAAGGAAAGCCTGGGCCCACCACGGCCCTCCCCAAACCGTACCCCTGGTCCTCCCCCTGATCCCCAAGCCCTCCCACTAGAGGCTCCTCTGCAGCCCCTAAAGGAAATGAGGCTTCTGCTGCTGAAGCTGCTCCGGCCGCCACGGCCACCCGGGGGTGCAGAACAGGCAGAGCGAGCGCCGAAGCCCCTCCAGGCCTGGCATGATGATCGAGACATGGTAGAGACGGAAGGTCACACAGCTGCAGACAGACGGAGGATAATCCAGGTGTGTGAGTTCCTGCCCCAAGGCCCCAGCACGAGACTTTTATCCCCTCCCGTGCCTGGGCTGGGCCTTGGGGAGCAAGATGCTCTGGGCCTGACTGTGTCTGTCACCGACTCCGGCTGACCTATTCTGACACGCCTGGAGGACAGGGGCCCAACACGTGTGGAGCCCAAGGGAGAGGAAGCCCAGACCTTGCCCTCAGAGCTCGCAGGCCGACAGGAGAGCTGGGCACGTCCCAAAGACGAGGAAGCAGACAGAGACCTGGACTCCAGGTGCTGGGGGTAGGGAGGGATGGCCCTGAACTACCACTGAGAGTCATTCAAGGAAGGCTTCCCAGAGAAGGAGATGGGGGAATGGGGAAGAAGAAAGGGGGTTCAGGGGAGCACCTGAGGGCCCTTGCCATGCTTTCCATGCCGGACAGAGGAGTGTGAAACTTCTCAAGAAAGAATCTACCTACAGTAACCGGAGAAGGAAGGCGCTGGGCAGCTTAGGTGAAGCTACAAGGTTAATAAAGGTGTTACTGTCATTGTTGGTTAAAAGACACTCTGGGATTTGGAAATGAAACCGAAAAACAGGGTGTCCAAGTCCCTTCTCTTGCTCAACCCAGCAATCATCCACCAGGTACCGCCCCACTCCAACCAGGCATCTCCATCCAGGATCTGGGCAAGTGGCACGTTTCCAAGCCCAGCCCGTGTCCCTGCTCCTTCCCCAGACGTGCAGTGCCAGGCCCTTCCTCTCGGGTCACGCACTGCCTATGTTCGGTTACAAATCAAAGCACCAAAGACTGCCTTGAGGTTCTGGGAGCAGACACAGGAACTTTGGGATGCCCCCCCAGGATAGATTCTGTCTCTGCCCCCTGGTAGTCCATGAGCCCCCCACCCAGTACAGGACCCTCAGGGGGAGGCGTCCAGCTGCCACCACTGAAACTCTCCCACTACTGGCAAGCAGGGTGGGGTAGCTCTGCTTTTTAGAAATTCCTAAAATTCCTTCTTCACATGGTGGGAGGGTTATTTCTCCCTGCCTCCCAACCTAGTTCTTAGAACTAGGAGACTGGGCCTTTACTAAAGCAAGAACAAACAGGGACTCAACTTCATGAACACTCAAGAGACGTGCTATGAGGAAGTTTGTCCTAGCAATGCTCCCACAGGCCAGACAACGGTGAGCAAGCCTCCCCTCCCTCCGGAGGATTAGAAGCCCCTTCCTCCTTCTTCCAGCCCCACATGGCACACCCCTGAACAAAGCTAAATGACAGATGGCCTCAAGAGGAAGAAGAGGTCGGGCCTTCCGCCGGAAGAATAGAAGAGATCAAGGGACTGAGGGGCCAGGTGAGGAAGAAGAGAGAAAAGATCCAAACAGGAGACCGGAGTGCACCGAGGAGACAGAGGCAGCCTGGAGCAGCCCCAGTGTCTAGAAAGAAAATCTGGGAAATGGGTTGGATCCCACTGAGGGCCCACCACCAAACCCTGCCCCTGGGGACCACTTCGTAGCAGCAAGGAAGCCCAGGTACCTTCCTTCCTTCCGTGCGTGTGTTTGAGAAACATTTCTGGGGACTGGACTCTACTACCCCTTCCCCCCAGTGTTAAGGGTGGAGAACAGAGATCATAGGTGGGATGGCACCAAACCCACCTGCCTGGAACTCCCTCATCTCTGTAGCATTACAGAATATTAAAGTTGGAGCAAGCTCCAAGGTCATCTGTCCAATGCCCCATTTTACACTTAAGGACTCTGAGCCCCCATAGGAGGTAGGGCAGGGTACTGAGACTGTGCACCCTTGGGTAACCTAAGCATTGCGCCAGGTGACTTCTGAGCCTGTAATCTGAGTGACTTGCTCGAGGCCACCCACCCCGCGGATCAGGCTGGAGCCAGGACCACAACCCAGATCCGACCCATGCCCCATGGACCCACCGGCTAAGCCCTTGTTTATAACTTGTCCACCACTGTCTCCGGCTCAGGGTCTGACACACACCAGGCATCAACAGATACTTGTTCTCAGAAATGAATTCTTACCCACGACAGTCACACCCAGGGAACTTCTTGAAGTACCAGGTTCTCAAATGCTGCTGTAACATATTTCCTTGTATTTAAAAAATAAATAAATAATAAGTCAGGGGCACCTAGCTGGCTCAGTCAGTAGGGCGTGCAAATCTTGATCTCGGGGTCGAGAGAGTTTGAGCCCCATGTTGGGCAGAGAGCTTACTGAAAGAAAGAAAGAAAGAAAGAAAGAAAGAAAGAAAGAAAGAAAACGATTCTATGACATTTTAAATAAATAAATATGATGATTCTGTGGTCTTTTAAGTAAATAAATACATAAATTAATTAATTGACTAATTTAATTAAAAAGAAATGAATGATTCATAAATAAATAATCATGCGGTGACGGAGAGAAGGCTGAAACAGTTTGGGGATTTGAATGCTAGACCCCCGCTGAAGGACTGACTTGTCCGGGTACACAGAGGTGCACAAAAAAAGGATCTCCACTCGTGCAGTGGCCAAAGTGCCAATGACTGGAATCACAACTTCACATGAAACCTGGCAGTGGGAAGGCTCTGACGGGCTATGTCCGGGGCTCCCGGTTAACCATCCTCAGCCACACATCATTCTCGGCAGGCCCTGGCCACCTGCGCCCACCTTCGGGAAAGTGCCGGACTGGAACGGCTTCTCATGGCTCCCCCGCAGCCCCTTCCCTCCCTGCCTCACCCCTTCCCTCCCCGCCTCACCCTAAGTCCTCCCTCCCACCCCCACAGCTATCATTCCCCAACCTCTTTCCCTCAAGCCTGTCCTGTCTGCACAGTCTATTTTTGTTGTTGTTGTTGAAGATTTTATTTATTTGTTTGACAGACAGAGAGACCACAGAGGCAGAGAGGCAGGCAGAAAGACAGGGGGAAACAGGCTCCCCACTGAGCAGAGAGCCCAATGCGGGGCTCCATCCCAGGACCCTGAGATCATGACCTGAGCCGAAGGCAGAGGACTAACCCACCGAGCCACCCAGGTGTCCCTGCACAGTCTATTTTTTTACCCAAATGTCATTTACTCACATTTATTCATTATTTTTTCACCAAAACGTGATCAGTCACCCACTATGTGCCAGGGCCTGCACTGAGAACTAATTTAGCCAAGAGCAAGCCCAGCCGCTGCACCAAGAGAGCTCAGAGTCCTGTGGAGAAAGAGACACGGAACAGGCCATTAGACAAGTATTTCACTGCAATTACAACAAGGAGAGGAAAGTATAGGGCATGAGAGAGGCCTAACCTAGCTTACCCCCTAATTTATTCTCGAACATGCCAGGAACACTCCCACCTCGGAGCCTTTGCACGTGCTGTTCCCTCTTCCAGGAATGCTCCTCCCCAGCTACCCACAGGGCTAAAACCAAAATTGCAACCCTGGGGCCATCCCTCCTCCAACACTTTTTGTCTCTTTCTCTCAGCTTAGGGCCTGCCCCTGCCTTACACAGCGAGTATTTCACTCCCTCATTTCACTCACCAGTCTTCCTGCAGGAGAATGTGAGCCCGATGAGGGCAGACATGGGGTCCCCTTGCTTCCTTGTGTATCCTCTGCACATAGATCTGTCCCTGGCCGGCAGGAGGTGAACAATAAGTATCTTTTGAGCACATGAATCCCCAGTCAGTTTCATCTTGTTGGTTTCCTTCCATCTTTCAGCCTCTGGAGGTCCTTGTGACTCTAAACTCTATTCTCTGAAGCAAATCTCCATCCACCTTCTCCAGGTGGGAAGCATGCATGCATTAGAAAAATATGGACGTGTGTGAGTGTGTGTGTGTGTGTGTGTGTGTGTGTGTGTGTGTGTGTGTGTATTGAACTCCTCCTGTGGGGCTGAGCGCTGAGCTAAGCGATACAGGACATACACGATGGATAAGGCCCCATCCCCACTCTGAAGGAATATAGAGTCCCAGGGAGGCTACACATAGGAATACAGAAGCGGGGGGCAGCCTGAAAGGGACTGCCCCGGTTCACAAGTTTGCATGTTGGTGTATAGTGGGGGATTCCTCTTTTGGAGGAACATTGACCTACTGCCGTGGTCTTGGAGGAGACAGGACAGACTCCTGTGGCCCACCCCTAGAAAACCCTTCCTCTACAGATTTACATCCTCCCAGCCTAGGTCCTGTGGGGACTATGCTCCGTTCTTTGGAAATCTACACAGTTGTACTTTTTCAGACCCCATTTTTTTAAGATTTTTTTAATTTATTTATTAGGGTGAGAGAGAGCATGAGCAGGAGGAGTGGGGGAAAGAGAAGCAGACTCCCTGCTGAGCAGACAGCCTGATGCGGGGCTCCATCCCAGGACCCTGGGATCATGACCTGAGCCAAAGGCAGACGCTTAATGAATGACCCACCCAGGAGCCCCCCCCTTTTTTTTTAATTCAGCATCCAATTCCTTCATTGAAATAGAATTGACACACAATGTTACATTAGTTTCAAGGGCACACATAGTGATTGGACAAGTCTATACACTGTGCTATGCTCACTGGCCAGTGTAGCTCCCATCTGTCACCAAATAACACTATGACCTTACCATTGACCGCATTCCCTATTCTGTGCCTTTCATTCCCAGACCTCATCCATTCCATAAGTGGAATTCCGTAAGTGGAGGATTCTGCAAGTGGAAGCCTGTATCTCCCACTCCCCTGCATCCATTGTACCCTCACCCCATGTCCTGTCTTTCTGCAAGAACCTCAGAAATGTACCAAGTATCTCATGTACCAAATATCTCAGAGACTATCCCAGATAGTCTCTGTCTGACCTACAAAACTGTTAAGATAATATTGCCAGTGAATTATTTTATCCAACAACAAAGCAATAAGTAAAAATAAATGGCCTGCATGTCAGCCCCATTCTAAGAATTTTACATATATTAAGCATGTAATCCTAACAACTCTGTGAAATGGGTATTATTAGTATCACCAATTTATAGAAAAGGGAACTGAGGGCACCTGGGTGGC